TCATTAGCGAACGCATCAATTCTTATCTAAATTTATACAAGGCGAGAATTTAACGTTTTGTGTCCCTATGAAAAAAATCTTTAACGGAAATTTATCTATTGACAAACGTATTCACAATACGCGGTGGCAACAAGCTTATAACGTTACCGTAAAAAATGATCGCAAAAATTGAATTTAGTTAATACGCAAAGTTGTTATACTCGTGCTATGTTTATCGTAGTAGTGGTAGGGATGTAATCCCGGTTCTTAACCTCCGCTTTGGCTGTGACCCAAATAAAGAACGCAAGAGATCGTGACAACTCGTTTGAACGATTATCGCGTAACGCGTATAACGCGCGTAACTTGTACGCTCTGGGATCGAGCGTACGGAATGAAAGGTAACACGCAAGCAAGCCAACTTCCAGGAAGGAACTTTTTTCTAACTAGCTTTTCCCTTCCGATCATTTCTTCTTCGTCGTTTCAATCGTTAATCTCTCAGCGACGATCAAGGGAGACGCGAGACGCGCTCGAAACTTTTCTTTTGACGATCTGCTTCGACCGATCAGGATATCCTTTCAAGCCAAAGCAGAATATTATTCGAAGAAACGGCGCGAGTTAGATAGCAAGAAGTGCCATTAAATTGGACTTACGTAAAGGGTACGCTCAATTGGACATGATTCAAGATCGATTTCCACGCTTCTAGTTCCAAGACGATACACTCGATGATGCTTTCCTCGGCTTTAACGAATTACGATTTAGCTTTTCCATGACGTCCTATTCTTCAAGATCATTCTTAAAAGACGAACAATTTTCTCTTTCATTAGCTTCCAAATCTTATAACTACATTATTCATATTCGATTATACGAAGCAAAATTTGGCAAACGGCGCGAATCGTTCATTAATCAAAACCAATATTGATTATTCGAAAGTAAGCAAGACGTTTAACTTTGTCATATCAATGTATATACAAATTAACGACTCAATTTGTTAAAATATTTCACGAGTTAATCAAAATTTGTTATCGCTCAGATAAATATATTCATAGTAATGAAATATCTTTTATACCTTTTCTCATTTTCTCGTTACCGTTCCTCGTCGATCGAGTAAAATATTATTCTATCTCAGCGTTTGATTCGTTCTTATTAAATATAATAAAAACGACAATGAGAAATGAAAAAAACAGATAAACCTACAGATAGAGGGCGTAAATACTGAATTTTTTTTTCTTACACATATAAAATAACTATTATTATATTTTATACATTTGTATTGCCAAACGTATATCATATAGGAAGTGTGTTATATAATCAAATATTAAGGTTGTACGTTAGCGATTGGAACTATTAGGTAAATAAGAAAACTCGAAAATAAAAAATCGTTCGTGCGAAGACGAGAAGTTTTTATTTACGACGGATCCTTTTTATTATCCTCATCGATAATTACTCCATCCAAGTCGATATCTCGTTCAAACGATTCTTTCAAAACTTCTTTTAATATTTTTTCTTATTTTTCTTTCTAATAAAAATTCAAAAGTCATCTACGCGATGAGTAGTCATCGTTGTCGTCGTTCGTTCATGACTTTTTATTCGTTCGCGGCCTTTGAAGATGATTACGAAATCACGTGGCATTTCACGTTCCAACTGCATAACTTTCTATCCATCTAACCGAATCGAAGGTAGACGGCCAAATTTATACTCTTTTTCTCACGGGACTCGTTTCTTCTTTCTTTGGTATCTCTCACTATTATATAGGTAATGTCTTATAAATATTATGTCGACTATCTTATATATATATACATATACAAAAACGTTTGAAGAAAATCTGTGTTGTAATAAGATAGGAAATTAATTAACATTCACGCGAGGACAAATTGATTCTTTGACAAAAAAAATATGAAAGATAAAGATGTAAAAAAGAAAAGATATCTTGAAAGAGTTCACATTGGACGAATTCCCTTTTCTGAGTTACCATAGTCAAGACAATATATTTGGAAGAAGAAGACAGAGTCGAATGAATACAAGAGAAAAGAATATATATAGGTAGAAACACAAAAAGAAACATAGAAAAAAGAAATAGAAAAAAAGTTAACGTTAACCCGGAATTTCGACCGGTTCACCTTTTCAAATCCAATCGCGATTTTCATTTGTAACCGATGACGACGAAGAGAACGACGAAGAAGAAGATGACGAGAGCGTGGATGCAATTCTCTGGATGCATTGGTGAGGGTGAGAGATAATGCCTAGGTGAATACGAAATGGCGAAAGCAAAGACGGTTTTTCGAAGACGTGCGCGCGAGAGAGCTCGACCTTGACTGGAGATCGCTTTTTCTCTCTGATAGTTGCGAGAGAGCTGTCGACGATGATGAGGACGACCACGCCGTTCCGTTCCATTCCTCCTTGTATTTTTTTTAACCCTCTTTTATATTCTCTCCTTTTTTTCTTTTTTCTTTTTTTCTCACCGCCTTCCATTTTATCCTTCTCTTTCTTAACTAATGGCAAGATAAAAAGGAATGTTGCGTAACCGTATACGTATATAAATTTAACGTAAAGAGAGAGGGAGAAAGAAATGGAGAAAGAGATGGAGAAAGAAATGGAGAAAAAGAGGGAGAAAGAGAGGGAGAAAGAGAGAATATATATATATATATATATATATATATATATATATATATATATATGTATGTATATTATACTTACGCTGCAACACAAACAAAATAAAAAGTAATACATAAAAAACACGTGAAATGATATGCATACAAATCTTATGTGAATAGGCTAAAGTAACAAAAAGATTGATGAGTATTAAAAGTAAACAAAAATTGAAAATTGATGAAATATAATTCGGCACAGGGAAAATAAAAATGAAATAAAAAAGAGAGAGAGATGAGGAGGAGGGGAAAAGTGAGAGGGCAGAGGTCATGTTCTCGATAAAGAAGAGGCAAATAGTAGTAGTAGTAGGAGAAGAAAGATGTATGCATACGGACGACGACAGGAGACGACCGTGGGGCACGGTTGAACTTGAATAAATACCCAAGAAGAAGTCTCGTGGTTTCGTTGCTCGCTCGTAGATTAAAATTTCACTTCGACCTACGATATTAGAGACGTTTCCTTTTCTCGTTATCCGGTTTATTTCATCACACGTTCCTGTCCCGTTGGCATAGAAACGTGCGTAACGTGAACACAAATGACTACTAGGAAACAAATTTCTTACGAGATCTATGGGTAAAAATCCATGAGATACAAAATGAATGATTAGAAATTCATTAGATGCAAAAATACTCTTGCGTTTATATAATAAGATTTGTAAGACTTAGGAATAACTCAGCAAGTAGTATCGGTCGACGTCGATGCTCTTTCGAAAGCTCGATTTATTGCGAAATTCTGACGCAGAGGGAACATGGTCCTTTACTTTTACACCACATCGATTGGTTCTATATATAGAACCTATCCTACCTTCTATATATATTATATTCTAGTTAATTCTTTTACAAAAGGATTTTTCCATTCGCCTCTGTTTGTTATAAATTTATAAAGAACCGTTAATACGAGGATAATTGTAAGGGAGTAATTTTATCGTACAGTCACGGACTCGTTGCCTCTTTTATGCATTAAGATTATCTTTCTTATCTTCTATATTTATTCCATTATATTTTGTATGGAATTTACAGGGAAGCGGAAGATTTTCTCCAAGAAAATTTACTCGTATTCCCATCGAAATGTATAATATAATGAATATCATAGCAAATGTAAGAAAAGAAAAGAAAAAAGAAAGCTAAGCCTCCTTACAAAATACCAAGCTCATTTCCGAGGCTTAATTATCGACGAGTTTCATTTTAAAGATTATTTCAACAAGTATCGATCATTGTAAAATAAAAATATTCTATCTAGTATTCTACTTCGAATATGATTATTTTCGTTGTAATTATTTTAATTTTCTCATTGTTTGTGCGATCGGTAGGAAGCATCGAGATAAGTTATCGAGACGGCATTTTCGTTTCAACTCCCAATTACGTCGGATCTCTTTCATTTACACGGAGTCTAAAACCCAAGAGAGACAAAATCGGAATGTCGGTGAGCCAGCTTTGCGAATCGCCTTATTATTGTCCGCAATGGCTTGACGACGATTTGTCGTTTCGTTGACGCTATCCATGGTAGTATTATCCAACTACGGTAAAATCGATCGAGGAAATGGCGAGTGAGTTTTTCGATCTACCTTCGAAAGAATTTTTTAACGGCTCGTAACGAAAAATCTAACGTATCGATCGTCCAGTATTAATTGGCAACGTGATTCGTATAACGGGTCATAAAACGTAAGATTAACGTGCGTGACTTAATAGTCATGCGAAGAAAATCGTAAATTAAAAGGTCGAATCGATTGGCGTGAAAAAAATTGAAAAAAAAAAAAATAAACAGAGAGAGAAAAAAATAGAAAAAAATAGAAAAAAAAGAGAAAAATGGAAGAGAGGAAAAAATAATGGGTATAGATCCTTCGACGAAGAGATCGATCACCGTATTTGGCGCGAATGACGTTGCGAAACAAGTTAAAACTAGGATGACCAGATTTGAAAATTTAGTCACGAGTACATACGCGTGTTTCTAAAGAAAAAGTCCTGCAAGCGTATACATATTTATATTAATCTTTTACGTATCTTATTTTTCTACTACATTTAACCAAGTCAATATATCGAGTGTCATTAGAATCTTTAACGGACGTCGTTGCCATCAAATAAGAATCATTTCCGTTCTACTAGATAAGAATAATTTAACGCGCGAACTATTGTGTCTAAGAAAACGAAGTAGATCAGGTATGTCAAATTTATTTTGGCTCTTGTAACGAAGTCTCTGTATTCTAAATTGATGACCGCACGCGTGTTGCCAGAAATTCAACAACATTTATTAAGAATTTAGGATAGATATCGTTCGATACGATTTTCGAGGATTTTTTCTTTCGATAGATAATATCATTGTCTTTAATAAGGATACAACTTAAAAAATAAAAGTATAAACAATTGATATAATCTCACCTCACAATGTAAGTCCTCCATTTTGTCAACGTTGCTAAATTATCCGAATTAAGGTCGGCTAAATCGAAAATTCACGTCCCTTAGGATTCTCTCGAAGAATCTCGAGGCATCCTCCAAGCTTCGTAATAACGACGGCGACGACGACAACGATGACGGCGATCTCGCTGGCACGTGATATGAAACATTGAAACACACCGTTGTATACTGATGGGCTCACAGATACCACTCGAATAATAACTCAGTTTACATGGAATCGTACTGGCACCCGCGTCGTCACTTGAACACACTCGATAAAAATCGGACGTTTATCTATGAACACTTGTATCCTATGGTTCCTTGGTTTGTACGAAGATGGAATGGGAGGAAATTGGCATCAGAATCGGTAAGGATAGAAGAAGACGAAGACTAAAACGAAGAAACGAGGAGAAACGAGGAAGGAGGTCGTTATCTTCGGTCAGCTGTTATTCTCGGTCCTCGGCTCTTCATGGTCGCGAGCACGTGCTTGGAAGTTCGTAGCATAGTAGCGCGTGGGCTCTTCCGGGTGTTCTCGAGAGGATCGATTCTAGGAGGCCACGTTTGAGGAAACGTCGACGAAAATGTCTTCGTCGAGAAGAAGAGAAGCTTTTTCCTTTTATTTTCTTTTTTTTTCCTTGTTTCTTTTTTCTTGTTTGTTTCAACGGGGGCTAGCACGGCGCGGACTCGAGCGTCCAGGGTCAACCGGCTGCCGCTCCGGTGCTACGCTGCTGCCGGCACTTTTACCCGTTGTGTACTCTCAAGGACTCGGAGGTGACTCCTATTCCTTTCTCTTATCCTTTCGCGCGCGCGCCTTTTTTATCCCGCTAACCTTTTTAAGTGCACTTTTAATTCCGCGTCGCGGCCGCGTGTCTCCGTTCGCGCGCGCTGAACGATCGAACGAACGAACGAACCAACCAATCAACAAACTAACTAACCAACCAACGGCCTCTTATTGTCAAGTTATCACAGTCACGTATATGCGCGGACGCGCTCCGTCCTATTTGTCTTTCTCTCTCTTTCTTTTTCTGTGTGTTTATCTATTCGTGTTTATCTATTTGTCTTTCTCTCTTTCTTTCGATTATTTTGTCTTTGCCCGGGACTGTCGTCGTCTCTTCCGGAGAACTTGATTCTCCGGATATGCCGAGAGGTCTCTTCTACACTGACTTTCTTTTTTCTCTCTTGTTCTCTCTCTCTCTCTCTCTCTTTCTCTCTCTCTCTCTCTCTCCACTTCTCCTTTCTCTTCTGGTTTTGTAATCCCTTTTACGAAACGCTTCTGCAGGCCGACTACTCGTGCGCCGCCCGTACACGAGACGGCGAGTAAAAGCAATGCCTGAGCACTGTTTGTAGGAGGTGGAGGAAAAGGAGGAGAAAGACGAGCACCAGAAGAACTCTTCACCGGGGGACCTTATTCTCCCCCGACTAAGACGAAGATGACAACGATGACGAGAAGGAGAGGGTTACCGAAGAAATATCGTTGACCTTGAACGTTCACATTTCGAAAGGCTCGCGGCATCGAGTCGGTGAAGCGGTCCTAGCATTTCCATTGCTTTTCCTTTCCTTCTTCGTCCTCTCTTTCTCTCTCCCTGTCTTTCTTTCCTTCTCTTTCTCTCTTTCTCTTTCTCCTTCTCTTTTTCTTTCTCTTTCTCTCTCGATCTCGTCGTTCCGTTTCGCGAGCGAACTCGCAACGTCGTTAATAACCGGATCGCCAGCCGCGTTTCACGACTCAACGAGCCAGAAGCATCGTTACGCAACGCTACCAAAGAGAACGACAACGACGACAACGACTACGTCCACTACACGATGACAATAATATGACGAACAGAACGTTGATGATGGTGACAATCTTCCTTTTCTATTCTTTCTCTTCTATTTGTATTTCTTTTTTTTCAAACAGCTTCCTTGATATCTATAAACAGGTCTCCTCAACAGACAAGACGGAAGATCTCCAGAGGTAAGGAGCGCTCCCACGCCTACCCTCTACCTTTCCGAAAATCCAAATAAAAAAGGAAGAAGAAGAAAGAGAGCGAGGATGTTTTTGATGATGAAATAATACGTTTAGCGGGGTGGTGGGGTCAAGGGTAGGGGTGAGAGAGTGTGTGTGTGAGAGAGAGAGATATCCACGAGATCGGATTTTAGCGCTCGACGGTGCGCTCCGCACGCGCGCCAGCCGAACTCGGCGGTTTCAACTTTTACTTTCAGCTCTTACACAACGTAGCCTGCTCGTTGCGCTCTACGTAAGCGGCAGCCGAGCGTGCACTGAACGACCGTGTTCTCTCGATTCTCGAACTTTGACGGAGCTCTTCTTTCTTCCACTTTTTGATTCTTACTAAACTATATATATATATATATATATATATATATATATATATTATATATCCTTGTTTAATTCCTTTCTGTCTTATTTTATTTATTCAACTTTCTCTTTTTCTTTTGTTTTCTACCCTTCGTCGTTGTTTATACACTATTCCTTTATTCGTTCTGTTTATTTTTCACTCTTTCTTTCTTTCTCTTTTGTCTTCCTTTTACGCAACCTTTTTCTAAGAATCTTCTTCTAATTCTTCGAAAATGTAATACTACTTCCAGATTTTTGTTTTCCCTTCTAATCTGAATAATGATATTTCTTTTAGAAAAATTCCCTTTCTCTTTCTCGTGATCCTATTCAAAAGAAAACCCCTTCTTAATCTTGTCCTTTGTCAATTGATCTTGAATGACCTTTATGCGATTCCCTTTTTGTTCCCTCCTCTTTTTCGTCCTTGTTACCCTAATAACTTTGTTTCCTATACCTTGAAGATCCTTTTACTCTTTTATTCGTGTCAATTGCTTTCATTGCTTACTCGATCGATCTTCTTCTATGTAATCCTTGAATTTTATTCTTCTTATTTTCTTTTCGTTTCATGGATTTTTGTTGTTGTCACTTATTGCTCTAGATTTATTTTCTCTTTTAGATTTCTTTTGTGTAAATATAACAAACGGACGAACGGACGGACGAATATATTACGAAATACTCAAAAAGAAAATGGAATTTCTCGAAATGTACTAGTAAAGTTGTGTATATGTTTAAAAGATTTGTTTGACACGTGGTATACGTCCACCACGCGCGCCCATCCAACTACGAAACGAGTTTCGCGCGCTCTCATCAGTAGAGATCCCTGGACGATAGACGACGCAAGATCTTTTCGCGGTCGGTTTACAAATCCACGTGCTCTTGGTGCCGAAGATTACCTCAATGGTGAAGAACTAACTAACTGATGACAACGATTAAAACGAACAGAAATAAATATTCCTTTTGTCGAGGGAGCAAACGCTCCCCGTTTCAACAAACAAGAAAAATAAAAATAAAAAAAACAGAAAGATAAAAAGAACAGGAATAGTAAACAAGCAGCACACAGTTAACGCGAATAGACGACGTCACACACTTTTCTCTACGGATACAACACTATCTCGGAGTCACCTGTCGCGAATTAAGACGGGAGGAAGAGAATGGCACATGCACGCGCGAAAATATAATCATAGGACGCTCGTATGGACAACGACGACGACGACACGACGAAGACAAAGTTTTCACGCGCGTGATCTCTCTCCCTCTTTCTCTCACACTTTTTCCTTTCATATGACACACGCACTAACAAACTTACTTCACTCTTTCTTTTTCTTTAGGAGGACTTGTTTAGGGAGAGAGGATCTCTTCCGGTCTCCGCGGTGTGTCTCACTGCTACTCACTCGGTCGTAACTTTTGCGCAAAGCCGAGACCCTCTCTCGTGCTCTCTACATCTCTCTCTCCAACTCTCTCTCTCTTTCTCTTTCTCTCTCCCTCTACCAACAGAGTACGACTCCTCTCTCTTTTCCGCTCTCCCTCCCTCTTTCTCTATCCGCTCGGCTCCTAGGTAAGCGTTGAGAAAGAGAGAGAAAGAGAGAGAGAGAGAGGTAGAAAGAGAGAGGGAGAGAGGGAAAGAGAGAAAGAGAGAGCGTGTAGAGCACTCGACAGGAGGTGGTGCTTGCTCTGCCACTGCTTCTAGCACTGTTCTTGCTGGTGGTGGTAGCCGTGGTGGTGGTAGTGCAGTGGTAGTGGAGGTGCTGCTGCTGCTGCTATCGGCATGTTGATGCTTGTGTGGTGGTGTGGTGGTGGTAGCGGCACACGACGCGACGCGCTTATCCGACAAGAATGAACTATCCACGTGTGTGTATATATTGAGTCCTACGTTTACTATGTATCCTCTTATATGTATAATAAGTGCTTCTAATGTTTGCATCCGCGACCGCAAACGTACGCGTATGCGCTATATTTGTTGGTATAAGTCTCCGATGTTACGCCTATCGGTGAGAAACGGTGGTGAAAGAGAAGAGAGGCCAGGTGGGCCCCGCTCAAGATCGAACCCAGAAAGGGTTGAGGGTCCTGAATGTACGTCTCCCTCTCCTTCTCTCTTTCTTCCTCTTTCTTTACAGACGGAATGAATACTCGACGGGCTAGAGAGGTCTCCTCCTTGGTTGGTTCGTAAAGGGAACCGTAATATTCCGAGTAGGTAGAATGCGAGTGAGTCCCATCTCTCTCTTTCTCGCGAGCGCGAACTTTCTCTCTCTCCCTCCCTCTCTCTCCCTCCCTCTCTCTCTCTCTGTACTCCTCTCTTTTTTTAACACTCCCACCATCCTAGTCAACCCACTCTCCCTTTCCCCAGCGTGTGGTGATCTCCCTATTACATTACAAATAGCTAGCTCTTCTCTTGCCTAGGTTCGCCGCGCGCTTTTCTCCTCCATCGTACATACATACATACGCGAAACAAATGTAAAACTGTGTTCGCATTAACACCATACCCGCGTTTTTCGTGCACATGCATTCGACTTAATAACGAACCGCGTGTATTTTCCGAGAAGACGCACCGAAAATCCTAATTTTACGTTCTCTTTTTCCTTGAAAGGCTCGAATAGAGGCTTTCTTTGTCTCTTGGTAATAACGTAATACGCTCGACTTATGTTATGCGGTCATCTCTTAAGGAGACGTAAGAAGACATTAGAAGAATCTATTCGGGAATACTTTTTAGATGTTCTCGCTTTCCCATCTCAATCTCAAAACTGGATCTTGATGTTTCATATTAAATATAAACATAAATAAATACTTACATATAAATATATATACGACAATTCCTCTTAGAAAGGTTAGAAGAAACTACATAGTATTCTGGCAGCCAAAATTTATTTTTCTATCTTTCTTTCTTCCTCTTTCTCCTTCCACTTCCTCTTCCGCTTCCCGCCAATCCTTTTTCTTCTATTCCCTCTTCTCATCTATAGTCTCTTTCGGACCTCCTCTAAACACCTCAATTCAAAAATTTAGACCTTTCTTTTTGTTATGTCTTCTCTTTATTTTTATTTATTTACACTTCCGTCCCCCTTTTTCTTTCATCTCTTTATCGTTTTTTTTTCTTCTTTTTTACCAATTTTACTTTTGAGCTAATCTAGATTTTGAAAATATAATAAATTCTCATTTTTCTCCCTTCCCCGCCCCTTCTCCCACCTTTTTATCTCTCTATCTTTCTTTCTCCATCTTGATTTCTTTTTCCATGATCATCCCCGATTCCTTTCATCTTTTTTTTCTTTTGTCCACCATTCCTCTACGCTTCTTCTCTTCTGCCTTCCCTTACTTTCCTCGCGTTCTCTGTTCCTCTTGACGACTCTTTTCCTTTCTTCTCGTTTTCCGTCTGTTAGAACTCCCGTAGCTGATCCCCCATCCTCGTCTTTTTCCCGCGCACGCTATATCGCGAGGTTCTTCGTTCGCTCGCAAACCGCAAATCGAAATGTTTCATTCCTTCCTTTTTTCCTATTTCCTCTCTCTCTCTCTTCTTTTTCTTTTGCTACTCTCGACTATAAGTTACACCCTTCGTTCTCACATCCTTTTCTCATTCTCCTCCTCAGAAGGAGGAGCGCACGCTCTCTTTCTCTATTGCGCATGCTTTCTTTTAAAAACATGAGATCGCAACGCGGTGTAACTCGATCGCGTTTAATATTATGTATGAATATGCGCAGAAACGAGTCAAAAGAGATCATTTTCATTAAAGTGAACAAAATTCTCCGTAAACGTTTATTTACCCGTTATTTATTATTTTTTTTTTTTTATTTAATAAATTCGAATGAATAGCTAATGACAACGCATTATCGATAATAAAAGTTATCTAATAGTATACAATGATAATAAGTATTTAATGATTTTGATTAAAATTTTTGGCACAATTTCTATGAATGTTAAATTCGGATCATTTTTTACAGATAATAGCTTCTATACAATTATAATTTTTTAAACGCATTGTTTAACGACTTACGCAGTGCAAATAGACGTACAAAAAAAAATAAATTAATGAGCTCGTAAATAATGAGATTTTTTTTTTTATTTCTCAAATCGTCCGTTCCAATTTTTCTTCTACCCCCGCTCGAACGAACGAACGAACGAATGATCAATGACGATCGAGAAGGACGAAGAGGATCAATGGCCCTGTTTGATGATCATCGACTATGTGTTCGATTCCGTTCACCACGGTTCCGAGTCTCGGCTATTCGCATATATCTGTGAATTATGCCAACGGCGTGGCAGAGTATCTATACTTAGGAACGGTAGACGAATTTCATTCGCGAAAAGCAGCCAGTCGAAAGGAGGTCGGGGAGAACCGCTGATAGGATAATTTTCAATGTTCCTAACTACGTTAACTAAACTAACTGTCACACGGGAGAATAATTCGATGTGAAATTGATTATAAAAATAAAACAATCTAAACAAAAAAAAAACTAGAAATAATCTTTTATTTTTTTATTAAATTGTTATGAGTATTCCTGTTAATTTGTTAAGAGAATCGAATTGACCGATTTAATATATTTCTCATGAATAACGGATTTGTTAGTTGCATATCTGAATGTTCAAAGAATAACGCAGAGATAAATTTCTAGAAGCATTATTGATTAATCGTTTGGATGAAATCATGATTTTTTTTTATACGCTAGATCAATCAATTATCTTTTTTCAAATCGATAGTTTTGTTCGACGAATGATTGAAGGAAGGAATGCCATAAAAAATGTCTATTTTTCTATACTAATAACTTAATCGTCGATCAATGAGAAATCGGTGACCTTTAACGAAGGAAGAACCTACCCAACTAGGGAGAAACGAATATCGTTCGTCTTACACTCCGTTCAAAAGAGCGTTCCGTGAGGTTCATTGATTGTGCGAAAAATTTCGATTTTCGAATTTAACAAACGGAAAAAAGAAATTAACCCTCATTGAAGATATACGTATGTATGTCTATGCATGTATAATATTATAATAAAAGATCTTGTGCGTAGTTTCCCAGAAAATCGAAGACGCTTTCATATGAATAAAACGAACGGTACGTAATTATCGGTTCGATTTTCTTGATTTATGTTAGCATAACTAAAGAGAAATATATATATATTAACGAATATGTAATAACGTAATACAAAGTGATAAGTAATGTAACAAAATAATATACAAAAAGACTTACATATAATTACATGTACGATCTACACTTGTACATACATATGTAGATATTTCTATATTTACGTACACGTGATGAGAAACAAAAAGTCTAGTATATTGACAAGAAATTCAACGTTATGACTAATATGAAGTGCACGAGTTAAACTACAAATAAAGAAAACAAAACGAAAAAGAAGGAAGGAAAATATTGAGCTATCTATCGCGTTCGCGATACTGTTTATTTATTTATGGTGCGGTCTAAATTAGAAGCGCGTCGAGAAGGCCAAGCGACTTGCGTAATCGCTGCAGGGAGCAACATGCTGCTGTTTATCATTACTCGCGAAAGAGTTGAAAGAAGATATATAGATAGATAGATAGATAAATAGAAAGAGAGAGAGAGAGACACACACAGAGGGAGGGGAGAGGACCATCGCAAGGTCCTCTTCCGTTGCCTCGAGTCGTAACATTGTACGTGCAATTAAAGTGTATTGTATTTTTATTTTTACATTCGTCACACGAGCGGCCTCCTCTCTCGTCTATTGCATTATTCTTTGGTATTTTTTTTTTCACTCATCACGAGACAGCTAAATATTCAATATCGAATATAAACTCAAAACAGGTAAATTACAATATACGCATAGAATTTTAGACACATCCGTTATAGAAATGTAATAATATCTAAGGAATGATAAATGTTCAATATTTCGCTAAATATCGTCTTATCTTTCTCATTAGAGAGAATGTATTTATAATTTAAAACTATAAGTACAGTCAACCCTCCTATAACGCGGTACTCTCAGCACGCGGTTTCCATATAACGCGGAGCTGAAAATGCGACAGCCCTCTTATGTATATTATATATATATATATATATATATATATATATATATAAGATTATATATATAGATATATATATTA